GAGAATAAAACTTTGAGAACATATTTAATAGCTGCATGGTAAAGTTAGTTAAAATAATTTTGTTCCCTCTACATTTGCAAGTGGCTTTTTTTTTCAGGTTGAAAAATGCTGAAAAATTACAAGAAGCAGGCAGTATACAGCCAAAATCGTGTCATGTTGACCATAGGAGACCTGTTAAAGCCAAATATAATAAATACCATGCTGATATTGATTTTCAATTTTATTTTTTACCAAATGTAAAAGGAAATTATTCCATATATATTCTAGTTTGCATCTTGTTCAAATTAATTTCTACTATTCGAAGATAGAATATCCCGTTTGCAATGTAGTGTAAAGTCATTTTAGCCTGTGCCGTCTTCATCTATTAGATTCATCCATTCATTCTTTTAACCATTTGTTCATCTAGTCATTCAGAGGATGTACCTGTACAAATCTGTTTTAAATTTAAGCAATCCAAAACTTGCTAAACGGTATTATCCTCACTAAAATATTATGTGCAAGCTTTAACTGAACCAGTTTTCCATTTGCTGTCAAGGACAACTGATGCTTTCTCTTTCATTGTGCGATGAAGATGAACATATTTCATACTTCTCAGTTAAGTTACCCTGTTTAAGTTTGTTACAATGTCTTTAAATGATATCATTTTCATAGTATGCATTCCTGTTTAATATTGCATTTTGTTAAGCTTTGTATGGCTTTGAATGTTACTTTTGATAACTAAAGCAGAACCTTTATGTCACATATTCCAAAAGACATCATTTCTCATCAGTCATTTCTTCATTTAATACTTAATACACCATACATCTCAAACTGTAATGAAATATAGTTTGTACAGTAGTGCACCATTTGCTGTCATTAAGAAAGGACTGTTCATCCTTTCTCTCACACTGTGCCATGAAAATGAAAACTTTTTATATTTCAACTTGTCAGTAAAGTCTTGTAACCATTTATATAAACTGTTTTCCATCTTTTTTAATCATGTTACATTTTGTGGCATCACTGATAGGTGGCAACTCAATAGAAAAATATCAAATCAGGTAACATTGTTAAAAAATAAGGTGTTTCATCAACTGAAAGAGGCTAAACTTTAAAAAAGCTTGAAGTATTAGTAATGAATGTTTAGATACTGTTCATGTCATACCATATTTTTTATTTCACACAAGAAAACCAGCAAAAACAAATATTTTTAAAAATATCAAAATGGCAGATATAAAGAGCATAATAAAAAAGTTTAATCATTTATAATAGAAAAGTTGAATCAATTATGACCAACTTGAGAAGACGTGTTTTGCAGTGTTTTTAAGTACATTTTCTGAGTTACAGTTCACTGTATAATAGATGCTCCTAAAACACGACAGATAATAATGCCTGTCAAGAGTTATAAAAATGTCAATAGCAACCAGTAAACAATTTGGAATAATTTAATTATTTTCTCATTACTATCTGGTGACCTTTTGAAATTGATATGTTTTAAAGTTATGAAACAAGTATTCAATACAAAAGAGGCAATCCCAATCTGAATGATATAAATACATTGAAGTATCTAATTCCATTTTCTGTCATCACCTTTCAGTTCATTTATGTAAACCAGGTTCTGGACTGGAATACATCTGCTAATGAATCATGTTACAAAAACTTATAGCAATTGACCTGGATTTGGATGTTTTAGTAGTTCAGAGATTTGCAAAATATTTTATATCTTAATTTGCCTAATGCCCATTTTTCCAACTATTTTTCAATCAAACATTTACTGGTATCTCTTTTTAGTTCCATTTGCTAGTTTTTCATTAGATCTGCCATAACATAAATAAATCCTTTGTTAGTGGACTGATCAAAATATGGCTAACAGTTTAAAAACAAAAATATTTTCTTACATGCTGAAGCTAAGACACTTGTAAATGCATTACAAGGTTTTTGTTATGACTTTGAACCTAATATCCATTCATAACTGTTTGCATTATTATACCCAAAAGCCAGTAGAGCTAAAAATATGTTAAGACCTTTGATTGTAAAGTCAATATCTGGGTGCTACCAATCTGTTCATTGGATAACAAAATCTGGTCAAAATTTAGTTGTATGTACAAGTCACTTTGTTCAATAGCTCTATAAAGAACATAAAAAAAGCAAGCAACCACCTTTGACATGACCCATTGTCAATAAGCTTTGTTGTTCAAACCTTTTTGACAAATGTGCAGATATGTTAGCAGTCAGAATGTACCATTTTCATTCAGAACCAATTATATAGTGCAAGAAATGTTTATGTGCAAAACCAATGCCACATAAGAAGTGGTTATATAAAGATTTTTCAGGAAGGTCATCAAGGCAGCCATTTAAGAAAAGTGGCTGTTATGAGATGTTGAAATTTCTGGAGGTCATTTTGGCATCGTTTTCATTTAGGACCAATTATAAAGAGAAGTGCTTCAGAGAAAACTCCATGTTGATATAAACACAACTTCGAGATGACCACTATCATGCAGAATCATTATTATCTAGAACCAACTAAATATAGGAAAAAGTTTCTCAGCAAAATTTTTTACATAGAAATATATGTTTATTTGTGAATAGTTACCCAATCATAATATCTTATGAGAATTACTACTACCTCACAAATCCAGCCTACCCAGGTAAAACTTTTAGCTAAAATGAGTTAAATAATATCTGCCCAACAAGGTGGCAGTTGGGCAGAGTGATCTCCCCTTAGAACAGGGATTGTTGCCTAATCCTATGACCATATCATTTACTGAAGTGGAAAGCATTCTCTCAATATGTTTGTAATTACAGGGATGCTGGAAGAGTGTATGTGTATTATGATTGGGCAAGCATTTGTGACAAAACATATTTTACTATAAATTAATTTCTTCTTTAAATACATTACCGAATTAAAATACCATAGGAGAATATGTAAGCAGTTGAGGGAGGTACATCCCCTTACTCCAGAGATGTTTTTCTGTTTAAGATCAGGTACTACAATGAGGTTATCAGGCAGAACAAGAATTTTATTCCCGTTTAAATTCACCTCCCACTAATGCAGGCTTCCAATAACAGCATCTTTTTTGATGATGTGGACATATAAACAATGATTTTTTTGAGAGGGACAAATTAGTAGCAAATTCATAGCTGTTATTATAGCTATAAGATGTTGTATGTTATGTTACGAATTAGACCCTCCTATAAATAGGTACCCAGTGATTGATTTAAAATTCATAGTGGAAGGATATAACCCATGGCCTGCAAAGTGAGGATCATCAAAATATTGGATACAAGGTTGGTTCCACAGTCAAGACATTGCAAATCAACTCAAGAGTATTTAAAGGGAAAACAGGAGGCAATTGTGATATAATACAACTGTTGATGGTTGCAACTTGTAATTGACAATGTCTTCAGTCCCAAAGTATCAATAATTGTTCATATTTTGGAAGCACTTGAAAAAATAATCTTCTGAAGGTAATTCTTGCCTGATGTTATCTTTGTAAACCCAACAGATGCAGCAGAAAAATGAGGACAGAATTCATCCAAATAGATCAAATAATGACTAGGGTACTTTAATTTCTGTTCAGGGTATAAAGATTGCATAAGTGAAATCAGCGTCTCTCCTGCGCTACCTGTGAAGTAGATGGAGAAAATGTTGATGGCCCACTTCACTTGCAGCACTTATGAGACAGATCCCATTACTTCTAATGTGTCACTAAACAGTTTCTTGGGAGGCAGGGGCTTGAAGGGTAGTGAATAGACTCCCTTGAAAACAGAGGCCCCAAGATGGATATCATATACTGTTTTGGGATACTATTGCAGGCAAGTCTGATCCACGAGGAGGTCTATATAAACTACAACTTCCACAGGATGTGCCTAGCAGCACTATGTGGCTAGAATGATCCATGAAAGTGCCTGAATGGGCATCACATGGCCAGCACTGGAATCACAAGCTAAGAAAATTACATATGCTGAGTGGTTAGTTAGACAGGTCTTGCTCATGGTCTAAATCCACAATACAAACAAGACAAAATAGTATAAATCCTTTCTATTGGAGGAAGTGTACTGCTTTAAACTTGCAAGAAACCATGCAGGGCTATTCACTAAGACAACCACCTGTTGAGGGATGTACATGACCTATACAGGTAGAAAAATATCAGCGATAATAATTAGAAGTGATAATAATTAGAAGTGGATGCTAAAAAGCAAATCGAGTTGCCAATGTAAATTTGACTGCCTCTCCAGAAGGAGGCACTGGAGTGTCACTTGTGGTACTTACGTTGACCAAATCAATTCTAGCAGCTTAACTGTAGGAAAGCCAATTGTTTAGATGCCTATCCTGATAAAAATCATCCAAGCATCACTTACAGTAACATTAGCTGGATGCTACTGACCAGAAGAGAGAGGGAGCTATATAGTAATATAAAAAAGTTTCTTATATTTCGCACAAAAAACTGCACATAAAATGAAACATCCTGTAATATCAGTGCTACAATATCCATTATAAGCAATTTACCTGTAGGAATAGGTTCATGATGTTCTATACAGGTAAATCAAATAAAGTACTAGCTGACAGTACAATGAAGGACATGAAGTGTCAATATATAATATCAATTCACAATAATACTTATAGAATGACTCTAAATGATGGCCTGTACAGGAAAATCAGTGAAGCCTGGCACCCAGACACTAAATGCAATAGTACAAAAAAGTACCTGTATCAGGCCATTGTGGAAAATAATAGCAATGTTATGAGTTTGTCTATAGCATACTACATAAGTGCATGCACATATAAATTGTTATGATTGCTGTGATTTTGATTTTTAATGTAGCTTTAACAATTTTTCAGTCATATCGCTACAATGTCTGCAGTATGGCAGTTTATGTCTAGCACTGGGGCATCATGATGCAGACATGTAGTATGTCCAACCCAGTCACATTATTCTGACACCAGGTCGACCAGTCCTAACACTAATCTCTTAAAGCTGAGTGCCAAGCGAGGCAGCTCTTAGTACCAATTTTGTAAGTATTTGATACGACTTTCCCAGGGATCGAACCCACGACCTCCTGAATCCCAGGCAGATGCTCTAACCACTAGGCCACTGAAGCAGTCCACATAGAAATTAAAACTATAGCTAGAACTATTGTGAAGTGGCATTGCAAGTACACAGTTACCAACAAGTAAAGGTAAAGCATTTTAATGTAAAGGCAGAACTCTGTCATCATAGAAAGAAAGAAAAATTGGAAAGAAAGGGTATACTTTTCTTTGATTTGAAGACTCCTCCAACTTGTGAGTGATAGACTTCCAGAAACTTGGCAGAGGATGTTTGTGAGGTCTCTAGTGCTAATCTTAAAGAGCAGTAGTAGTAACTGGTATATTCAGGAGATTTGGCACAAATCTGTGTACCATGAGCAAATCACTCTGTTCCAGAACCACCTTGTTGAGCAAAAAACGTAAAAACGTTTTGCTCATTTGAACTAAACTTCTTATCTGGGAGGGCTGAATTTGTGAGGTAGTAGTAGTTTTCCCACAGTATTACGATTGAGTAATGCATTTACAGAAAATAATCCCATGTTTATAGAAATACCTGTTTCTCTGAAGTTGTTTCAACAAGATTTTTATTATTGTTACAATGGTTGTTTAAGAAAAGAAATGAAAATTATTTTCTACTTTTAAATTGACTGTACTTTAATTCAGGTTTAGTATTCTACCTTTTCTAAATTTACTTTTAAAATACTGCTGAAAGTGGGGTTGACCTGCATAACACTTGTTTTTGTCCATCCAGCATGTGTCATTTTGGATTCAAAATCACTCACTGGTATCTTCATCAACACTTTACCAGCTACAATAATCTGATTTAGTTCTTAACTTTAAAAATCATTGTTATTGTCACTGTCATCAGCCATTGTTTGTAGAACAAAATTGTCATTTGAAGATGAACCACATTGGAAATCAGCCATTTTGATGTAATTTAAACACATGGGTCCGAGAAGGCAGAGTTCACCTTATGGATCACTGCTATCTCACCTCTGTGTGGGTTTGAGTCTCTGGCTTGGACAATGTGGGTACAAGAGAAACCTTGCTAGTAGCTTCTTGTGATTTGGTGAGTCTTCCTGTGCTCTTCATCCACCAGTTTTTCTGGCCGCCATGTGTAGTCTATCTTGGGTTGAAAAATGGCATTAAACCCCATAATAACAACAATGAACATGCATTCATAAAAAAATGTCCTTGATGCAAGGTTAAAACTATGACACAATGCTTGTTTCAGGGCCCAATATACCAATCAACAACTATTCATCTCCAGCCAAGGAACCATGTGTTGCGACAAATGCTACAATACCTCTAACAGGGGCATGACTTAAGTTGCAACAAACATTAAGGGTAAATGGTTAACTAAAAATGGTACACTGTGCAGAGTATACTTTTAAATGTGCAACTTTAAACTAATTTGCACAATATGTTATGCATCACTGCTCTCCAAGTGCACAAATTCAAATAAATTTTGAGCAAATTCTACCATTCAAGTCTCTTAGCAGCATTTGTGTTTCATACAAGTTGTGAAAAAAAAATGCAGCAAAATGATCCCCAATTTTTTGTGTTAATTTGTTGATGACCACTGGTTTAATTCATGGCTCCTACTAAAAATGAGAGTTCTAGAATGCACCCATATTTTACTGTCATGCATTTATGCATTCACTGGACAAATTAACACTTATATTACATACATAAACAATTTGAGATATCATTTTAAATAACCTTATGACTCCAGGCAATACACATACATTGAAACAAACTTTTACCCCTGTCACACTAGCTGACATTTCAAACAAAGCAGTCTGCTTATTAAGAAGAGGTGATATATGCTCTCCACAGAAGGCACTTGTCACTGTATCTATTTGTATTTCACATGATTACTCTCATATCACAAACATCAGGTATTTGCCAATTAAGCACTCTTAGAAGACTTAATGGGTTTCAATCAAAACTAAATGAACTTCATTTTAATATCAGTTTTATTCTTATGTATTTACTATTGTATGTTTTTTTGAATCTCCTGTTATGTTGGTTTGGTGCTTTACTGCACAGCAACACAAGTAGGTTATGTTTGTGTTGAGGCAATGAGTTTTAAATGAAAATAAGCTGGTGTGTAGTAACAGGTTAAATTGGCTGCAGATGTACTGGGCTGAGTTAGTTGCAGATTTACTACTGTGTTTAAAAATGATGATTAAACTTTTTCATGTATGAATTCTTAAAAACATGCAAAATGTAGAGCTTTGACAGAAATTCTTAACATACATACATACGTATGTACGTACGTACATACATACATACATACATACATACATACATAAACACACTATTTTGAATATTTCTGCTTTTGTCTTGCAATTATCTTAAACTTCACATCACATCGGAAAGCATTCATAATTTCCTGCTTGGCTTCCTGTGCAATCTTGGTAATAATTTCTCCTCTCTTTTGCAGCAAACAGATCTGAAAACAGAATACATGTAGAAGTAATTTCAGGCACAGATAGCAGATTATATAGATATAATACATGAATAAGTAATTTCAGGCACAGATAGCAGATTATATAGATAGAATAC